AAAATTTACATACGCGGTTGAAAACGCCCGTACTTATATTTTTTTAAGTAAGATTAAATGCTGTATGTAGACCAAAATCCAGTCATTTTAGACAATTTGTACTTACAGCAAAAGAAAATCTGCATTTTTTACTTTACAAATACTTACTTCTTCCCATTTAAAAACTTAACGCTACTTACAGCATTTCTGCGGCGTGTGATTTTTACATTAGTTTACTTACAGCAAGCTTAGGGAACCTACAGTTTTAGTTTTTTTTTACCATTTACGACATGTTATTACAACCAAACATTACATTACCAAATGACCCACTGCATTTCTAGATCTAATCATAATTATAAACTAATCTTACATCTTGAATTTCAATTGAAAGTACCCAAATACATAAATTTACTGCATACAGCATATTTACCGGCTGTAAATTGACAATATTTCCGCGCGTACATTTTTCTTCCTTAGTTACAGCGTTTTAAAGGTTTGTGATTTAAAAAACTGTATGCTGTAACTAGCCAAACACGTACTTATAGTAACTTTGGATAAAAAGTTTACATTGCAAATGGTGACTGGCAGTTAAATAAATATATGTTTCAAAAATGGTAGCAATATCATGGATAGGTTCGACACTATTAATTTTTTTCCGAAATTAATTAAGTTTTTTGGCTCTGGTGAACAATTGCAATATGTCTACTTACAGCAAATATGCTTTCCTACGTCGATATGTATAAGATTTTTCTCTGTGTTGTATGACGTTGTCGTAGTTTAATTATTAATTATAACCAATACGCAATACAGACATATACTTAAAAATTATCTATTACCAAGTTATCTAGATAGTCATTAAGTAAATTAAAGTTACATATTATATTAAACATTATTAGCTGTCTTTTTGTACGTTGGAACTTATCATATTGCACGTGTTCACTCATGACAGATTTGACAGAGATGGATGACTAGCCGCCATTTAAACTGTGTATGAGAAATAAATTCAATTTTAATAATAGCTGTAATGTGTGCTTGTAATTTGTGCAGTGATTGATTTACAAAGCGTAGTATTGAGCGAGAGAATCTTTACCTCGATCAAATTCATTAGCCATTCTCATTCCTTATTAATTATTATGCATAGTAGCAAATAGGCTTAGCTTAGCTATAATTAGATAGACCTAGTAACTACTACTAACAAAATAAGTATTCAGCTAACCATTTAACAATTTGCTAAACTGAAACATAGATATGTAATTATGCGAAAATGTTGCTAATAATAATCACTGTAACAATAGTTATCATTATTATTAATAATTTTAAGATAAGAAATAATAATTAATATAATATGTAAGTATTTGTCTTCAAGTAGCCTTCTAATAGTCATTTGAAATAAAGTTTCTAAAGACTTGAAGTTAAAACGATACACAGCTGAAGCGACTAAATTACAATTGCTGTGCTTGTGTGCGATGTCCGTGTAGTCAGCTGAGCGTTCGTGTGTGCGTGCATCGCGATAAGGCGCGCCCCCCCGCGCACACTAGCATTCGCCAATCAGCTGATCGCTCGAGGTCGCGCTAAAACGCTTTCATTTCGCGCACTGCCAAACTAAGGCCTACTTTAGCACAGGGCTTCATATATCGGCACCAAATTGTTACCTTCTCACATAAAATAAAATTAATAAAGCTTCCAGTCTTGAATTATGTTCTATATATCTACTACATCTCTTTCCGGTACATAGAAATTACGAACGAACCTACCAGAGAGTAATTTAAAACCACCACTAAATGATACGTTTAAAGAAACAACTACTTACTAAAGTATTAAGGAAGCAAAGACATAGGTAATTCGTAATTTTTTTAAAGAATATGTATAAATTATAATTCTAACAGTACCCAGTACGTGTGGCAATGTCACTACATTAATAATTGTCTTTTCAAAATAAAAACCATTACAGCCTTAGTTGTTGCGTTCCTCGTCGTTATTATAAATTCAAATGTAATTATAACTTGTCTAACAAAACGAGTAGGTAGATGTTTAAAACATGCGTTCAAAACATCAAGATTTAAACCGAGACGCCGATTCTTAATCTAAATAATAAAGCACATGCTCGAGTGTAATTTATTCCCGACAACCCGCTGTTTAAACCATCAGTGAAGCCGTTCATGCGTTTCAGATAAGAGAAGAGGATTCCGGCAATTCAAGCTGGCGGCTAGCGGCTGTACGTGCACGCCACGGCTCGGCACGCCCGGTTATTTCAACGTATTTATTTACAAGGTAGGTACCTGAAATCAAGCAGAACGCTCCACGAATGGAACATGAAAGATACCGCTCCCTATTTTCATCCCTTTCGCTCTCGAACGTGAGCACTGGATAGAGAAGGACGACAGGATTTGGGATGCCGGGCACGCCTGTCAATTTCGGCACTTAAAATGGACGATGCTTAGTTCGTGATCGCCTAGGGATAGGGAGGGGGCGATGTCGATAATATTATGTTTTATGGCGGACTCGAGCGTACATAAATTGGATATCCGTTTTATGCGATATCGATGATAAAAATAATCACATTTTGGTGTCAGCCATATTGGAATTAGTAATTTAACCTAAGCTGAATGAAGTAGATATTATGTACTAAGTGGCAGTTTTATTGTTGCAACTGTCTAATTACAAAATGAAATATGTTATTAGGCCATGAAAAGAGATATTATTATACTTTATTAGCCATTTTAAGCTTGTTTCCTAGTTTAAGGTTAAGTTATTTCGTTTTACTTAGATTTCTAACGTCATAAGGTTGATCATTATACTTATTGAGGTTATACAGCATTTATCATAACAATAATCGTTAAAGGAAAGAAACGCGGTCATTAATTTATATTTTAATAGTGTAGTAATGAGTCGAGTACCAAGAATTCCGTTTCGATCGTGCAGTATTGGAACATTTCCTTTTAATAACTCGTTCATGATTGGCGTGACAAGGTTTAATTAGCATTATATTGAGAAACACAAACACGATATGGAAATAAGAATTGGAAACGACAATTTTACTGCCAGATTCGGATAAAACGTCAGCGATTTTCACGCGAGATGACCACATCGCACGAATCTGGGTAAACGCAATATCACGGCCATAAAAAGTAACGATAAACTTTTTACGATAGCGAGAGGATAAAATAAATACAGCTATAATTCGCCCCCTCGCAGAGTATAATTTTCTTTCTCTTATGATGGATATAAACTCTTAAAAGAATATAATAGCAGTAAAAGCAAGGAGGGAGGCGCGCGGAAAGCGACGCCGCGCCGGTTTCCTACAATCATCCATTCGTCTCGATGTTATTTCGTGTTTATTATATCAACGCTAATTTAACGGATCTGACGGCTAATGTGTGAGAAGGTCTTATGTACTCCTCTAAGTAATGCCCTTCTCTGAAATCACTTACATTAAATACTTCGATTATTCTGGTTGTTCTATAAACCTTAGTTTAAAAAGTCGGAAATAGATAATCTAAATAATCGTATCATCAATTTCGTTGTCGTGAACCTCATTTCCTTGAAAGCCGATTCAGTATACACCCTCTTTCCTAAAGTCATTGTTGTTAATTCATGACGCATTGTGTAAAAGAGCCTTTCATATAGAAAATGAAATGAATGAATCTTTAGTCTTTTGTTCGGTAAATGTTTTTCAGACTTGAACAATAGAGACGCTAACTCCGTCGGATCAACTGTTCAAATTCATATTCCTCTTATGAAACACAAATCTTAATTATTTTCTATTGTATACAATATTTCTAGTTTTTAGCATTATTACAACAAACACGATGCCAAGTTATTAAATAATAAATGTCTTTTTGGACATTAATTACGTAGTAGTTTTCTACTACAAAATTTTTAATTACTTTTAACGTTTCATTAATTTTATGGGCGTATAAATTCTTTTATTATTTTAATTAACACGCGATATCTACACGTGATTGCAAAATGTTATTTTTGCTTTCAATATTTCATTGAAATTGAAGAATATTTCATTACATTCAGCCAGTAAGCTCAGTCTCAAGCACTTAACTTTCCAATATTAATCTGTGAAAATGTAATAAAAGGTAACATTTAATGTTATTTTAAACTACTATAAAAACGACAAACCTGTACAGAGAGCACTTAATTGCATTTACATTTATTACACGGAAGGTGGTAGAGCATGCTCCTCTAATAACCTATATTAGACTTAGGAGAATTGTTTTAAAATTTCAGTCTCTTTAGTCCATACTTACGGTACCTTTGCTCAATGCAATCCAGGTTCGTCAACATCCATCTGACGACACAGCACTTGTAATTTGTAATACTAACAACACTACACAAGGACACTATGGACACAAACGGCAAACGAAATAAAACGATGCATTAGGGATTTTTGTAAAAAGATAGTTATATTTTTGGCATTGGACTATGACACAATATAATACTATGATATGCTAAGTAAGCGCATTATAAAGACTTTTACATGCCGAATATTTGTTAATCAGACTATTCATCAGAGGACTCTTTATATTATATAATTTTAACAAACATAACTGCTTACAAAATGAGAATAGAGTACGAATCTAGTTCACTCGGGACTGTCCTATATCATCACCTATCGAAAACATAACTATAACTAGTTTTATTCGTAATATTTTTTTCTCACTTTCATGTTTTTACGCTATAGGTACATATTATTTTAATATAATACAATTTTTGAACATATATTTATCGATATGATATCTTATACAGAAATACGCAACGAATCAGCGACCGTACAATAATTTATGAAGCGTCGGTTACTGCGAATAAATAGGTTCGAGTCGGTGGGCAACCTGCCGTCCGCCGGCGGGTCCGACTGACGTCAGCCGTAGCGCGTCCACAACACATAACTCCACGTTCAAACAATATATCAACGCACATAGGTACTATTTGGTATCGGGTCCGTCCGCGGGTCGCGGGGCACTTAACACTAGCTAATTACAACGAAACATCACAGAATGCGGCCCGAGCGGCTACATGTAGATCGGCAGCTGCTGCAGCGCTCGCTTGTCGAAGCGCTCGTAGTGCGCTGGGGGCGGCAGCGCCCGGATATCACAGTCCAGCGCCTCGGGCGGCAGGTATGGGTGCGCCTTTAGCCGGCCGCGGGATAGCTTGCTGCCTTCCGTTAGATACTCAAGCCTGTAGCGGCGCGCATCTTCGGGTAAGCGTGCTCTCTGGGCTGCAGCTGGTTGGGGCGGCGGTACTGGTGGGGCAGGTGCCGCGCGGCAACAGCGTCTCGCTTGGCGGCCACGGCTTCGGGCGTCCGGTGCGGCTGCCGCTGGCGTGGGACCCAGCCCGCCGCCCGCCGGCACCGCGCCCTCCGTCCGTGGCAGATTATTCACGAACGGCACACGTCTTAGGCTTTCGAGCCTCCGGAAATGCGAGGGGTGGATCATGAGCAACGGCTCGATCTTGACGCCCTGCGGCGGCTTGGCACAGTCGGGAAGCTCGTATTCGATACTGCAGTCTACGTGTAAAGGCACCGAGTAATCCTTTGGAGCCAGCGAGGCGGGCCGGGTATCCCGCCGGAAGCGGTCAGCGGCAAAATCGGCCTCGCCGCGGGCGTAGCCCGTCATGGTGCGGGCGCGGCCTCACGGCATGTGCGCCGCGGGGCGCGCGCCGATCAGCTGATCTTGTGAGGGAAAGCGCGCAAAACGTGCGCGCAATTCGGCGACGAGCGTTAGACTGAGCGAGCGGGCGCCACGCGTGCGCGGTGTGCTCCCTTCCCCCTGTACTCCCTCCGCGGAGTCCCGGCGACAAGTCGCGGGGCGGGCCGGCGGCGGCGCTCCGCTCGATAAAGATGGCGACGCTTGCGCTGTCCGCTAGGCCACGGGGTGCTTGCAGGGCGCAGTCATGAAGGCTTAGCGAATGTCAAACAGCTGATCGGGCCACGTAGTAGGCGCCGCGAGACAAAGAAACTTGAAATTCAAATGTCTCATTGACGCGACTGTCGCGGCTATCGCCAAAAGAAACTACCAAATTTTTGTGATAATTACCTAATTAATAATATAAATTTTGAGTTGAACGCAACCTTTGTTTAAAATATACTTTAAATGCACTATTAGATTAGCTTAGAAAGAAAACCTGAGGAATGGTTGCAAAAATTCGATGAAATACAAATTAAAACTGTCAGCAACGCTCGCATTCGTCTATAGGTTACCTTTATGGTTGGTAGTTGGTACTGAATAAAATTCCAAGAAACATACATAAACTGACACTGATATTTAATAAAACATGTTTCATCAGTCATCTACAGAAGCAAATTAAGACAAAAAGTCTTCGGTAAGATAGCTGTATCCGCAAACCACGAAACCTGAGCGGCTGGGAGTAGACTTGATGCGGGCTGCAGGCTATGAAGCTATGCGGTTTGATCGTCCCACAGGTCATTCAATTCTAGCATATAAAGCGGTGGAATAATCAGCGCCTAGTTGAATAATAAAAAAATAATGTGATTGGTTTTATTATCCATGCACTGAAGGAAAAGGTTACGAGAAAACCAGATACTGGGACTTAAAAAATTACAACGGGTGACGGAAAGAAGTTTGATTTCTTATAATGAAAAATATTATAATATAACAATAATCGCGTACAACAGATGTTGAATTGAATCCCTATTCCCAACTAATTGTTACGCATGAAAGTTTTACTTTTGTATTTTTTAATAGTATTTTAGTTTTAATATAACGTTTGGCAACACAATAACTAAATAATTACATAAATCTGAGACCAGGACTGCCAAGAATCACTTTTGAGAACTTTAGATTTTTAGATATATTAACAAAATTAGTAACAGTAAGTAAACACAATAATATTATTTGCACTCAGTCGTAAATATATTATGGAAAACAATGAATACATTAAAGTAAAGGTCTTATTCAGGCTCCGGCCGCGACACGAGAGCCTCGAGCCTTGTATCCGAGCATTTACACACAAGAGATATGGAATATGTATGAATTAGATCTTAACAAACAACACTTCTAACTAGCTGGTCAAAGCGGCTTATGCGTAGGTTAAATAAAATATTTTAAACATTCCTTAAATACTTTACTAATTATTCCTTCAAGCTTAGAAAAAACTACTAACCTGAAGAACTTATTCTACGTAGATTTCCGTGTGTTACCTAAGCGCTTAATATGACTCCTGTCTGCAAATAAAATCGAATTGGATTTTGAAACATTGGGAGTTTCTTCGCGCATAGTATCGACTCGCTACAAGTGCTACAACTGCTAAAAATGAAATATTAAAATAATGTAAAAAAATAAACTAAAAAAGTATTAGTACTTAAGTTAAAAGTATTAAGTTTTTAAAATACAGTGTAAACTCTTTATAACGAATTTCAAGGGACCGAGCATTTTTATTCGTTATAGAGACATTTCATTATAGTGAGGAAGAATTAATGTATGGGTATTGGGTTAAACCAAATAAATTTAAACCATATTACGTTATAGAGAGTTATTAATTATAACTAATGGCGTTATAAAGACTTTACACAGTATTAATTATTAGTATAGATTATGTTCGGCTCTGACAATTACAATTTACAACACTTAGGCCCAGGTGAGTAGGTTGGTATGGGGCTACTCTTTCCACGTAGTTAATCTGGCACTCGTTAAGTATACCCATATTAATATTTTATCTAATTGTATATATTAAAAATGCTCTCGTTTGTATTATGAATTCGCGACAGTTGCGCCGCGGTGATTGGTTTTATCACAAGCGATCATCTATCACATTCCATCACAGCGAAACCACAATTTTACAGAAAGAGACGCAACAGCTAATATACGTCGTCTCTTTATGTAAAACTTAAAGTAATAACTTCTCTTAAAAAGCGGTATTAGAGTACTACTATGTATTATAAGGTTAATTTCTAAGGCACGTTTTATATATTTAATTTACTTGGTTAATCACAATGTATAAATACTATGTCAAAGTATATACTTTCAACGGAGAATGGGTGGTTCCTTTATCTGTTGAGATGAATAGAGAGATTGTCTCCCCTTGCCGAGACCACATCTCGGAGCGGTCTAGCGTTAACAATTACAAGCGACAATGTCGTTTGAGCTTTAACAGGCATCCTTTGTACATTATTTTTCAATTCCAGCCTTGCTCACATTTTATACATTATGACAGGTGATCCATTTCTGACGAATAAATCAACAGAGAAACGTAAAATAAAAATTGGTGATCAAATTTATTAAGTACATTACGCGGGAAGAGGTATCGACTATCGACTATTGCTGAATTTCCATTCAAAGCTGTTATTTTCAGTATAATAATTGTACTTTAAACTCTCAAACTGTACGTATTGGTGAAACTTAGTATAGGTGTATATAACTTAGTGTAGGTGAATTTTAAGGTAAGTTAATTATAAACAAAAATATACTTAAGATTTTGTAAAATATTCCTCTATATAGCAACAAACCGAATTGTAGTTAACCTCCACTTCTTGAGTGTTGGAGGCCATAGATTGCCTTACAAAACTTATAAATAAAACAGACGCACTGCCCTATGTCTCCAACATGGGATTACGGGACTTGTATTTAACTGGTTGATTTCTATACATTCTCAATTACTTGATAAACATGACCACACTGGCATCAATGTTTTAAAAATCTCTACTTATAATACAGTCTATATATCCAGTTTAAGCTTGAATTATTGAAGAAACGCCAGCACCACGTGAATTAAAGTCCTTGTTAGGGCGAATGAATGAAATATGTAGGTATGAACTTAATACGACGGTGTATTTAAACCATAGCAGGGTTATGTCGTGCAGGGAGGAGGTTGAAGCGATATTGCGCGACACTAAGTCGCCTTTTGTTATTTTCCCGAACAAAAGAGGAATATTTTTAAAGAACTCTTCAAATAAATCGCTTTTGTTCAGATATCGTTTGATAAATATAGCGAAAGTTTCGGCGCTCCCAAATACAATGACAGCTACGGTCGTTCGGTCTTCGGGTTTTTATTGCCCAAACAAATCAATTCTATAGAATAATATTTCTTGTTATTGATAAACTTATTTATAGGTATATTTTTGTATATAAAGTATATAATATATGATATAGCTTATATAGTAATCAAAATAATAAGTTTTTTATTTGAATTATTGTTTATAAAATATGTCATACACTATTGTAACTAAATGACTCTGTCTCTTTCCATCACAGTGTAATCACAATTATATAGACAGGGCCCAATGATGGTAAACGGCTTTAGTTTTTATGAATAAACTTGCGAGTCATAAATTTATGAATCATTATTTTCTGGCTGGTGTCTTACTATGTCTACTTACTAACTTTTAATGAGAAATAAAACAGCCGCCTAAATTTTCTGTCTTACCAAGATCGTATCTTTATTGTTCCAATAATGTTTTTTTTTTAATTTGGTTGATCGAATCGAAAACTATTTGTTACAAAGACCTAATTCCTCAACCGTTGTAGTATCGTGTCGCTGCAAGGACGATGACGTAAGAAGAAATTTCAATTAAATATAACTATAAGATAAATACAATGTTATGTCAAAACTTTTGGTCTCCGAATAATACATAACTTTTGTTTCTATTCAATTCGAAAGTCTGAAAATAAATTATATTTAAGAAAAAATTGAAAGCTTGAAACGCATTTGCGCGGCACGGCACATTTCTCACTTATTATTTACGTATTGTGCCATTTAGAATTGAATAGATCGCACACCCGCTGTGTGTGTACAGGGTGAGTCCGTCACACACGATTTGTTAGCTAACTAATGTACCTACATTACCTTTTCAAGCATCATAAACTATGCACACCCAATTTTGACAGGGCTATATATTATATAAAACTACGCTTATCTCGATGCCAAGCAAACCTCGTCCGCAGGTCCGTCAAAATTCTCAAGTCGAGACAAAATGCTTTACGCTCCTACGCTGTTCCCGTGGCAGCGCTGCGAGGAACTACTTAGACTATTTAAATTTTAAACTTTGACAACTCCACCTGTGAAGATTTGAAAATTCTGCAATAGTTTTGTAGATTACCGTTAAAAACTCGTCTCGCGTTCGGCAAAATCCTCAAGTCGAGGGAAAATGCGCTCCGCTGCTTCGCAAGCCAATAGTTTGTAAAATTAAACTTTGACTACATCTCTGAAGATTTGAAAATGCGTAATAAAAATACCAGACCAAGTAAAATTGCTTTCATGTACAAAAGTTTTCCGCGCCTTCAAAACCACACGTCATATGTATAGGAAAAAGGTGTGCTTCGCAGCTCACGTGGCAACGCTGTCCTTATATTAATACTCAACAATGTCAAAAATAAGTGCCCTAACATTTCGAAGAAAGTACCTATATTTTGCAATCGGCAATCGGCAAAAATAAAATCAATCAAACTTATAATCGTATACGAAAGCTTATTTGGTACATTCAGAAATATTGCATATTTCAAAAAGGCGATACAAGAATGAATTCCTACCGACGCAAGTACTGCATGAAATAAGAATAAAATGGTCGGCCAGATATTTTTATCTTTGTTTTATATTAATTTAATATTACGAGCCCAAATACCCATTCAAACGCTGGTATTAAACGGAGGGTCTGAACCTT